TGATTCATTATTCTTGCAGGTTTGAGAGACATACTTCTTTGTTGAGGAATTTGTTAATTTACAGGCAAAATAGAATCAATCCAAGGGAATTTGTCATTCTGAAATTTCTCGCCAAGACAAGCAACTATTTATTGAGATTTGGATTATTGTGTTTGTTTCGTTTTTTTAGTGTGTGTTTTAAGGTATTTTTTGTATTAGGAATGTAAAAAGATATTTTAAAAATGTAAAAAAATATGTTAGGATGAAACAGTTATTATTTTATTAATCTAATAAAATCATTAAAAAATAAACAAACAAAGGTAGTATTAGTTTTCTATAAATTATTAGTCTTAGATATAGAGATCGACCTATATATCTATTTTAGTCTAGACAATTTGTTCCATGTGGGAGCTGTATTACGATTTTGAATGTTTTTGTAAACTTGTATACAACCCCTGCTATTTGCACTAGCAACTTTATATGTAAAATAATAATGTACATTGAAGAATATGGGTATGATTATTTACTAAATTTCCCTTCAATCATATTTTGTCGGGTGTATTTTTAAATTGTGCCTTTAGAATTTCTTTTTTTTTTTTTGTTCGTAATATAAACCAGGAGAAGGGGAAAAAAAAATCCGCATAAATAAAGGACATAATCTCTATTTTCTTATAAAAAAATCTAATCCAATTATATTCTAATATTTTGATTGGCTGAAAAAAGTTCATGATGATATCAGCGATTTTAAATAGGATTAAACACTCAATAGATAAACATAACATTTTTCAAAATAAAAAATTAAAACCTTGAACATCAAAACGACATCGTTTTGATGCCCATACAAAGCTTGGACGTCGTTTTGACGTCGGTCTTCCCCTCCTCTACCATTCTTTTTCACCCCGTCTTTCCAAAACACCGATTCTCTCTAACAGCGATTTTGAAACAATGATTCTCTGCACCCCCAGACCCCAAATCCTCATGGGTAGGACTAGGAATTCAATCCGATCCTCCCAATTTCTTAGCAATTAGGAATTTGGATTTTCCCACAATCCCTTAGGATTAGGAATTAGTTACCCGTCGGATTGAGGAAGAACTTTATGTGTTCATCCGCAACAAATGGATTTGGATGTCCTTACCCTCTCTAGCTTTCCTTGTGATCGTGACGATGGTAATGCCGATGGTGATGAAAGTGACAATTGGGAATTGATTTAGTGTTATTCTTTTATTCGATTTCCGGCAATTGACAAATTCGTTCGTGTTTTTGCATATAAGAAATCTTGTGCTGATGTAAGAAGTCTTGAATTTTGGTTGGTTCTGTGAGAAGAGGCAATAACTTTAGAGGTTATCTCTGATGATCTTTCGTCCCAACCAAGCATCGTATTTCCGTTCAATTCATAAACTGATTAAGGTTCTTCTTTGCTTAAATTGCTAGAAGGAAGAAAGAATTGCATGGGAGATCTCTGAATTTAGCCGGTGAAATCTGTTTCGGTGTTGCTTTATGGATCTATAATTCGTGTAGTCTGCACCAAAAATTGACTTTTGTTAGGCTTTTTAGATGCTCTGCATAAACTAATTCGTTAAATTTGCCATCACGAGAGGGCCAGCTGCCTTCTTTTTTCAATTTGCGAAAGATTGCTCCGAATAATGTTTTTGCTGTAACCGTGCTAAAGAAATGTTGTGCTTTAAGTGTTTGGATAACAGAGCAATAGGATTTTATGCTGGTATGCTCAATTTAGTCATGTTATGCTCTTGAATTAGAGCATACATACTGGTCCACAATGGGGTGCTTGACTTTTGGGTGAGTCAAACCCATAATTGTGGAACAAAAAATGTGTAGGGTTTATTTTGTGGACAAATATAATGTTTTCGCGCTTTCAAAACGCGAAACAAGAAAATTAGATTAACAATTCGCGTTTGTGAAACGCGAATCATTTTAATCATGTTTTCCCAAATTCAACCGGGACGAAAGGAGAAAAAAAATTGAATTAAAAAAGGAGAACCATTTTTCGCGTTTTGGAAACGCGAAAAACCTAAATAGCGTTTCAGAAACGCGAAAAATTATTTTCGCGTTTTAAAAAGGCGAAACGCTATAAATTTTAAATAAATTGCGGATTGAGAATAACAACTTAGCGTTTTGAAAACGCGAAAAAAGTTTTCTAGCGTTTTGAAAGCGCGAAAAATAATTTTAGCGTTTTAAAAACACGAAAATATCCAGAAAATCTCCTCATCCACTAATTCGGCTCCACGTGTATTTTGATGATAAGTCTTTGAGTGTATTCGCATTTTGTAAACGCAAAATTAAGATTTATATACCAAACCAAGCAAAATAACAGCATTTTTTCGCAAACTTTTTCCATTCTGTTGAGCTCCGATTTTTCTTCCTAAACTTATTTCATTCTGTTGAGCTCCGATTTTAAGTTTCACACCGAAGGACTTGACTGAATCCGTGAAAGCTCTCATTTCCTTCATTTGAGAAGTTGCTCCGAAGTTAAAGAAGATTGATTTGAGTCCTGAATCTGTGAAAGCTCTCATTTCCTTCAACATTCAGGTAAGTTTATTTCGTTATAGAAAATATGTACTTTTTTTTGCCTTATTGTGAGCATAGGATGATTTACGCATTATTATTAGTTAATAAATAATTGTGATTTAGTCAATTAACGGTGATTTTTTAATTAGGCTGATAAAGTGAATTGAAAGAAATATTAGTTAATAGAATGTTAAATTAGATGAGCGTTGTAAATTATTGTATATCGATTTCTGTAAAATAAAATAAAATTATAATAATGATATTGAATTTTTGAATATTTTTAGCATAAGAATAAATTATGTAATTCGGGCATAAGGTTTAGATTTAATATTAATGTTTAGCATAGAAATAAATTTGTAAATTTAGGCGTATAGTTGTTCTTTTGAAATTATTAAATCTGTAAACGGGGTAAATATTGTTTCCGCAAAACGAAAATTCAAAATGTATGCTAGTGTTCTAATTTCGTAGGAATTGATTTTGCAGGCCGCAAATGTCTTTCACGGAAACAGTTCGTCTGAAAGTATACTGGAATACTACTTATACAACTGAACCTGATGGGACTATCACGGTACAGCGGGATGCACCGGACGGTTATCTTATCATTGATCGTATGTTAGATTTCTCGGAACTTGTTGATAAGGTATGTGGTGTGATGGAAGTTGATAGAGAAGGGCTGTATATTGATTTTTCTTTGGTATGGACAGAGAGGTCAGGATAAAGGTCTCGTGTGCACATTAATGATGATAATACTGTTCGGTTCATTTATCTTTGTGCTGATAAATGGCCAGAATTGTACCCTGAAAATGTTGAGAGAACAGGCCATGTTTATGCAAGTACATCTGGCCAGGATATTGGTGCCAGCACTAGTGGTGGTAGAACAGTTGAAGACAATGAAGATGGAGATGAAGATGAAGATAAAGATGAAGATACAGATGAAGATGAAGATGGCGGGGGTGTCGAAAGCAGTGATGATGAGTACGTCCCATCGGATGAGGACTCAGATGACGACACTGATTTTGAGTCATCTTCTTCAGTCCCATATGTTTTCGACGACATAAGTGGATGGGACAAGACTTTAGAGGAAGTAGATTGTGATGGGATTAAAATGTGGGATGGCAATCCGTTGACGCTAGGCCTTGATATACATTTCGCCAACAAGCCTAAGGCACAAGCGGCAGTGTGAGAATGGAACTTGGTAAATGGTCGGACTTTCCGGGTGAAAACGAGCTCTAAACGAACATGGTATGTCGAATGCGAGACCTGTGGACCCAAATATCCGAAAGAGTGTCTCCACGGCTATGATTATCTGTGGAAGGCGCGAGTTTCGCTACAGAAGGCCACCGATACTTGGAAAATCGTGGTATGGTCCGATTCCCACAACTGTCTTGGGGCAAACAAGAGAAACGAGTCCCGAAACGTCACGTCTTCTATGATTGCTAGACTGGTTGCCCAAAATGTGCGAAAACATCCAGATTTTGTAGTTGCCCAAATTCAAACAGAAGTTTTGAAGAGGTACCAAGTCGAATGTAGCTGCAAGAAGGCATGGCATGGTAGAAGAAAAGCACTTGAGGCTCTGTATGATACATGGGAAAGTAATTTTCAACAACTGCCCAGCTTCCTCGATGCCTTTTTCATGTCAAACCCGGACACTTGCGTGCAATTCAAGTTGAAGGAAAATTCAGGAAGCTCGCAAAGGTTTGTATGTAGGTATGTTTTCTGGGCATTTGAGCCATCTATACAGTTATTTCATGCTTGCTGGCCAGTAATAACCATCGATGCCACTCACGTGCGAGGATCCTACAAAGGAAAACTAATTGTGGCATGCGTAAAGTGCGCAAATGGCACGATTGTTCCCATCGCATTTGCTCTTGTGGACGAAGAGACTATACACAGCTGGAAATGGTTTTTGAAGTATTTGAAAAAGTTTGTTCTACAGGATAGGAAGACCTGTATTATCTCTGATCGAAATCAGGGTATCCTTACTGCCACGGACATCATGTTGCAAAAATTCCCAGAGATGGGAGTCCACCGGTATTGTCTAGAGCATGTTAAAGCAAACTTGGTTGGGCATTTTCGAAAGGAGAAACTGGGAGGCAACTGTCAAATGATTGGTTCAGCGACGCAAAAGACAAGGTATTTGGCAGAGTGGCAAAAATTAGAAGAAAAAAATGAGCCTGCTGCTCGTTGGCTTCAGAAGCTGGGTGTTGAGAAATTGACCTGTTTACACGATGGAGGGCATCATTGGGGAGAAATGACCATTAACATTTCAGAGAGCTTCAATAATGTGCTGAAAGGTGCTTGATTCTTCCCGATCACAGCTTTGATCCTAGCATCCTTTCAGAAAAGCAACAATATGTTTCAGGCAAACATTGTTATGATCCAAAAATGTCAGAATGTTCTACCTCCTAAGCCAATGAAACTGTATGAAGAGGCCCGTAAGAAATCATTGAGGTAAAAGGTCAACCGGTTTAGCAAGAGAAACCAGAAGTACGAAATGGTTACACTAGCACCTGATAATCAACCATGGAAGGCTGAGGAGAAGCAAGTTGTGTTGTATGCAAATCGAGAGTGCACTTGCGAAAGGTGGCAGACTTTCAGATTTCCTTGTTCCCATGCACTTCGAGTTGCCCGTGAGCTAGGTGACGATCCCTTCCCACTTTTTGATCCATGTTACACTATGCAGCAATGGTACCAGCAGTTTTCTGGAGAATTCAACCCAATCATGGAACCATCTCCAAAGGCAACGTGGCAGATCAGGCCAGATGACACTAAACTTGTCCACCATGCTGGCCGGGGTCGGAAGCGTGTGAATCGGAAAAAAGGTGTGATGGATTATACAAGCAAATCTGACTAGCGAAGACTCCAAACTTGCAGTTTATGTAAGCTACAGGGCCATAATGCCAGGGCTTGCCCATATGCGAGAGTTTGCGCACAATGTGAAATTTTAGATCATGATGCTGTGGAATGCCCTTTTTCTCATCCACCATCTGATCCATATGGAATTCGTGGTGTGCCTAATATCAATTCTGATGATTCTGATGATGTGTAGTAAACCTCAGAGGATGAATCAGTTTGCGTTTGTATTTGTGTTAGTGTGTTGGTTTGGATGTTTCTATAATTTATATTAGTAATATTTTTGTAAAAAAAACGTCGCAGTTCGTTTTAGTAATATTACTAATTATTACTATAGTGGTGGAGTGATAGGATATATACATGTCGAATAAAGCACTAATTATTTGATAAACACTAAAGGATCATTCACTTTAGGGTAAGAAAAGTAGTTATTTGTTTATTCATCACTGAAATAAACACAGTTGGCTTAGTTGTACCGAACGATAAATGAGTTGTGTAAATAACGTTTTTATTTTTCAGTTTTAAACTAAAATCGTGTTTCTGAAACGCGAAAAAAGAGAGAGCATTTTGTGGTTTTCGCGCTTCTGAAACGCGATTATTGGGATATAGCTAGTTTCGCGTTTCTGAAACGCGAAACTGTGTGGTTAAATAAAGTTTTCGCGTTTCGGGTTGATGTTTCTCAAACAGAAAAATATATCCGACGTACTCCATTGAAACCGGCGGTTTTTCCGGGATCGTTGCCGGAATCGAGTTTCGGCATTAATTTTTTGCATTTTGTGGGCTATATATCGAGGTAAGTTGTGTTTTTTGCTCTCATTGAATCGTTTTTTTTTTTAATTTTTCGATTCCTATAAATTTTGTGTTCATTTTATTTTTAATTTTATTTCGTGATTTAATACTCCGTTAATAGATCTAGTATTATAGGTGTTGTAATTGTGGATTTTTAAAAAAAAATTGGGATTGGGTTGGGCGAAAAAATTTTCGGATTGATGGAGGTTTCTAAGGTGTTGCCGGCGGCCGGGGGTGGCGAATGCGGGGGTTTAGAGGGGGTAGGTTTAGGGATGGGCTTAGGGTTTGTGGGGTGTTGGGCTTAGGGGGTTTAGGGTTTGGGGGATTGGGTTGGGTTTAGAATGTGGGTTTTGGGTTGGGGATTGGGTTGGGTTTAGAGGAGTGGGTTTAGGGGGTTGGGGGTTGGGTTGGGTTTAGAGGAGTGGGTTTAGGGGGTTGGGGATTGGGTTGGGTTTAGAGGAGTGGGTTTAGGGGGTTGGGTATTGGGTTGGGTTTAGAGTAGTGAGTTTAGGATAATAAAATTTAGGGTCGAATTTTTTAATATATAGGATAATAAAAAAGAATAATAATATTAATCCGTATTTATTAAAATTTAAGGGTTGGATTTTTTAATGTATAGGATAATAAAAAAGGATAATTAATATTAATCTGTACTTACTAAAATTATTTGTAAATTGTACTAGCCATAGACATTGGATCATCTTCTTCCTCCTAATCTACCTCAAAGAAGCTACGGCAGGGACCCAGAGACAGTAGTTTGTTGTTTCTCCAAAACGCCCATAGGTCACACAATATATTCCATGGTGCACAGTATGATATAGGGATTTCGGAGCCCAAGCGCGTAGATAGCGCCGCGTGGAAATTAATAAAAGATACACCGAGGTTGACAAAGGAATATATTGAGAAATTTGGTTTTGGGCCGTTCTCTAGAGTTGGGTCCATAAGATGTGACCATGCCCTGTTCACAGCTCTTGTGGAGCGATGGCGCCCAGAGACCCATAATTATTAGTGATTTTAGCTAATGATTTCTTCATTCTGAATTAGCTCTGGGCCTGGGAGCGGATTTTGACGGTTCAGCCCAAGATACTGGGTGGGGAGCTCGATCTATCTCATTGTCCATTGGGCACGAGGTAATCTTATACATCAAACCTTCGTAAATTTTGACATTGTGATTTGTACTGTCATGTCTCAATTTAATGTTACTTTCTCCGTGCAGGTGGTCCCGTGAGAAAAAAGTTCAAGGTATCACGCGGTTCAATTTGGCCGCGTACCTGGATCAGCTTGCAGTTCTCGCAGAGTCTGATGTTAGTATTCTATTCAATTAGTATAACTTATGTTTTATTCATTTTTTTTAACGGTGGCGGACTTTTAATTACGCGTCTCTTACTTAATTACCATTGCAGTTTGTATGGATGCCGTACACGACTCTTCTGGGTCGTATTGCCAGGGTTTGTCTTGTGGGACATGGCATATGGTGATCTCAGACATGGCTCATCTGCGGTGATGTCGTTGCGCCACACAACCCCAGTAGGGTATTTCGCCAATTTGGTTATCACCAGCGGATACCCGGCGACGCATTACTTCTCACTGCGGCGGAAATTACTAGCCTGCTCAAGAGGAAGCCGTTTGGAGGATCCGATAGGAGATGGTTACAACAACTAGGGATATATCTCCAGGTTTGGAATTATCGCCACGGCCGACTTGTGGGGACTGATGATGATTATGTTGGCGAGCCTTCCGCAGATCCGGAGTATCTCTTGTGGTACCATCAGGTTACTGTGAAATATGTTACGGATCCGACGGACTCTGAAAATGCGAGGGGTTTTCACGGCTCTGCAGAGACCTTGCGTCTCATGGTGAGTATTTCGCCTACAGTCCATTTGGTTCTTTTTATTAACACTGTCGTCGATTTATGATTCTTTCTAATAAAAATTTCAGGTCACATTGATGGAGGACGTTCGTAGTCTGAGTATTATAGGCCAGTGTACTTTCGACGCGGCCTCCTTTGGTTATGATCGCTTAGGCGAGATTGCCCAGGTTGCTGAGCGGGCGTTGTCCGTCAATGTAACGAATGTTGTACGTCACGATCTCGATAGGCATGTTGAGGTTAATGACATTTTGAGTCAAGAACTTGCACCTGTAGACCCGACCCAGCAACATCCACCACCCAGACCTCCGAGGCGTTCGCGCAGGTCTCAGCGTGGGCGTGGGGGGCAAGAGACAATCACATCCACTCAGCCACATCAGTCCTCCCAGCATCAGCAGTCTCATATTCCCTTCACTGGCGGTTCATCCCATCAGTCTCCACTCCATTCTCGACAGCATTCAGCCCATCAGTCTCCACATCATTCATCCCATCAGTCTCCACATCATTCTTCGCCGACCCAACAGGCGTTTTACCGTCCGATTATGTCTCCCCAGCACCAGCAGTCCCATTTTGCCTTCACTCAGTTTTCCTCCCCTCAGACTTCTCAGCATCAGTTTGGAGATTCTTTTATTGACTTTTCTTGGTTTCAGCAGAGTTCGCTAGATGGCCAGTCGATACATTACACGAGTAACTTTCTTTCGAGTATGTTCGAGGGTGTTACGAGTCAGCATCAGGCTGATGACCCAGCTGGAGGTGAGTGTGAGAGTCAGGGTGAAGATGAGGCTGAGGATGAGGCTGAGGATGAAGCTTGGGATGCAGACCAGGATGATTAGTTTGAGGGTCAGGGTTATCAGCGCCATGAGGAGCAGGGATTGAGTCAGACTCTAGGGACTCCACCGTTGGCTGTGAGTAAAGGCCAGAGAGTGACGAAGGAGCCCGATAGATTGACTTATAACCTTTTTCGGGCTAAAAAGCCCAAGAAGAAGTAGGGTACTAGACTTCTTATGTAGTATTATTAGACTTGTATTTTTTTTTCCTTTTGTTCATTTCTGTTTTTTTTTCCTTTTGTTATGACTTGTTTTATTTTTTTTACCTTTAGTTATGACTTGTATGAATATTCTTAGTAGTTTGATTTCACCTGCATCGTAAATACAATAATTAATATTTATAAAACACATCTTCGCTGATCAAATCGAAACACATCTTCAAACTTTCTTATATTTTTTTCATAATTAATAGTTGCTTCATCTTTTTTTTTAAAAAAAAAAACAAACATCAAAGTATTTAGTTTATCCAAAAAAAAGATGTAATTCTTAGTTCTTACATACCAACCGTCTATTAAAATTACCACATCCACAAAAGAATAGTACCAGATACCTAAAACAAACATTCAGTAAACTAAAGTTCTCTTCAAAATTAATATGCGGTGCATTAAACAATCGCATTGGCAGCACTTGCAATTCGAGGCCAAAGATCATCACACTCCTTTCCAATAGGACCATTGATTGCAGAACCTTTCATTTTTCCCTTGGGATTAACAATCACTCCAGCATTATTTTCAACGTACATGTAGACACCGTTTTTTCGGCGCCATGGCTTGCGCTAGCAGACAATGACTGCGGGCATGACCTTCTTTCTGACTGAGATCGGGCTTAACCTTCTTGACGGTGCCCATAACCATGTCATCGATGCAATCAGAAGGGAGACGGTTGAGCCTACCTTTCATTCCCTTCACTGAAATGATGTAAAGGTTCTTTACCCCGGTGTTGTCGGTGCAATTCACCGTCGCAGCCACTGGAAGACCCAGAGACATCCTAAACTTGTTACTCGCCGATCCTCCGCGTCCTCGCTTCGACATTTTTGCTGTCTCCCCTGTGAGGTTTCCGAAGAATAGACAATAATTGCTTCATTTTAAGCGTTGGTAAATTATAATAAATATTTAATAAAATTTATTCCTATTTTAAGCTTTTTTCTTATATTAAAACCATCATAATTAATAAAAATAATTTGTAAATTAAATTACATCTAATTAAATCCATAAAATTACGTCATTATCATTATTGAAAATTTTTCATATAAAATTATTTTATAAAATAACGATTACATTTTTAATAAAAATTTTTAATATAATCATTATTAAATTTTTTAATATAATGTTCTAAAAATTTAATACATTATAATAACTATATCATACTTTTAATAATTTATATTTAGTATAGCTCTATTTAATTTAATGAGTATCAATTATAATATTATATTCTTATTCAAAATTTAATTTTCGTATTATTAAAATTATCAATATAATTTTCCTCTTTATAGCTCTATTCAAAATTTAATGATTACAATTATAATTTTAAAATTTTCTGTTACCATTATTCAAATTTAATAATTTTTTGAAGTCAATTTCCCTATAACGTTTTAAACTAGTCAAATTAATCATATTTTTATGCCTATTTTCTTTTTTATTTAAATAAAAAAAAATTTTAATTTTTTTCGCGCTTTGAAAACGCGAATTGATATTTATTCAATTCTTTTACCATTAATTAATTAGGATTAAGTTAAATTAATTACTTCTTCTTATTTTTCGCGTTTCTAAAACGCGAAAAATTAATTTTAGCGTTTTCAAAACGCGAAGTTTGCTTTTTAGCGTTTTCAAAACGCGAATTTTGTTTTTTTCGCGTGTTTGAAGCGCGAGACAGCTATTTTTGGCTACAATTTAAATCCTAAGCTTATTTTGTTCTTCCTAATTTTTTTCAGATATTAATAAGTAAATTTGCCGTCCAGAATGATGTTTTAGATGTTATGTTGGGTTACTTTCAGCTGCCAGGTCTGTCCCAATAACTATTTGAGTGTAACGTCTCAGCTGCCAGGTCTGTCCCAATAACTATTTTTGTGTTCGTCCTTGTTGTACCCAAAATGATTAACCCAAGTTAATTAGTAGACCTAGCTGCTGACTTTGATCATCCTTCCCCTCCTTGGCCGATTGGCCGATGTAGTCAAGGGACCAGCTAGCTTGACATACTAGCTTGACATACTAGCTTGGTCGGGCTTCACAATCACCCCTCCTTCGGATCCTTGCGTCCACGCAAGGCCCAAGACATATAACACAACACAACACACAGCACAAACAGTTGGCCCAGGCTCCCCTAGAACAGATACGTTTCACTTGTCTCACACCTCCTATGAGCTCAGAGGTGATCTATGTCCCAATAACTATTTAGATATTTGTCCTTGCTGTACCCAAAAATGATCAACTCAAGTTAATTGATAGACCTAGCTGCTGAGTTATACTGATTATCCTTCCCCTCCTTGGCCGATGTGGGACAAGGGACCAGCTAGCTTGGTCGGGGATTCACAGTTACCTTATATTTGTTGCTATGCATAGTTAGTAGCACACTGGACTTTAACTACGAAGTTTGAAACTTATTTTTTTGTCCAGATAGGATTTGCTACATTAATTCTTGGCTTGTGAGTTGGAGCAGTGTTTTTTTGTGGTAACATAATAGACTAACAATTCAACTTGCTATTTGAGTCGATAGGTTATTGTGTGGTCTTCTAAAAGAGAAGGTTATAGTGTCGCCTTCACTGAAATAAGCTACTTGTAGTTTTAGAAGGTTATAGTGTCGCCTTCACTGAAATAAGCTACTTGTAGTAATATAAAATTTTTAATAATGAGAAAAATTTTTCCAAGTTCCAACTGTGGATGTTCAATTTTATTATTTGACTATTGGACTTGGGAAAGTTGCCGCCTCTGAGGACATATCAAAGCCACTATTAAGTTAGTTGGTTCATCTATGACATCTGATGCTATATATTGACTGCATGTTATCTGATGCTGGTGAACTCATATGCAGTATCAGTTTAATCCTATTTTCAGTATACCCCTCTTAAATGGCTTTTCTCTTGATTCAAAGACCACTCCTTTGCTGTGTCAATGAATGAAGATAGAACTATAAACTATTTTGCTTGATAATTTTATTTGTTTTGAATTTTGTGCCTGACGGATGGTACACAAAAATTTTTCTTTTCTGATTCTTTCTTGGGGTTTTGATTTGAATCATGTTTGTTTTATAGTATCTCTTTTCGTTAGCTTTCAGTAATACTATATGTGTTTGCAAAGTCGGTTCTTTTATTTTTTTTCTAATTTTTGTAGTAGCTAATTAATTGAAGTTTAAAATATTAGATGACACGTGAAGTAGAGTATAAATCTAAATGCATGAGTTCTCGGATAAAAATTTTGAAAAATGGATCAAGGAAGGTAAAACTGCAAGAGAGAAAGTATCTACTGTTGACATGTTAAGCAAATTCCCTGCCAATTGTGCTTGTTTGTTATCAATTGAGAGCTCTTGGATTTGGCTCATATTGCTGACCACCATGACGAACCTTTAAGGCCATTATTTTAATGTAACTCTTCGTACACAGGTTCTTTTTTACTAATCTTATATCTTGAAACCTTACTACACTTGGCACTTACTTGCATGTATGGTTAGCTTACTTCATATACTCTGCAATGACTTTCTTCAAACATTTTGTGTTGATGTTTGGCTAGCAGGCTCGACAGATAAAGTGTTTAACAGAATTCGTCCAGACGCTGGCACTTTCAGAAGATGCTGAAAGGTAATAGCAGCAGCGGGAACATTGCGGGGAATGCATGAGATGATACTAATTTCTCAAAAACTTGTAGGCTGTTGTATTGAAGCAGTAGTCCATCATGAAATTGAAGTTATGCATCAGGTGCCAAATTGGAGAACGAAAGAAGGAAAAAAAAAAAAAAAATTTGCGAGAGGAAGAACCCACAAGGCTTGTTTGAGGGAATTTATGTTAACATTTGGACAGAAAAGATGATCTTCTCCATGCGATTTGCTTTATTGATAATGTTAAGGAGCTGAGGTCCATGCTTCAACGGTTAGATGAATTCTCACTTTGGAGTAAAATTTGGAGTTTGGGTGTTGTTTCCGTCGAATTTTGGCAAAGCAACAGGGCCAGTTGGTGGAATTGACGTTGATGGGTATTTAGGGTTTTCCACTTTTAGGGATGTGCCCAATACTAACATTTTAGAGATTGGATTCTTCTTCAAGAGCCCAGATCGGAGTCTCTTCTCAACGCAATTTGAGGAAGGATTCTAATAACAAAGAGATCTTGGGTCTTGTTCATGGTGGGGTGGGAGTTCTCAATTGAGCTCAATAGAGGTAGAGCGCATTCAGTCTAATTGGATGATAAGTCCATTGGATTTTTTTGTTGCTATCTTTTGATTGAGGCCCGGATTATCATGGAAGGAAATATGGAAGGAAATAAAGGAGGGGGTTATTTTATTTTTTATTTTTTTTGGACGGTCCATGCCCTTAGCCAACACACTTGAGTTTTACATGTTGACTTCGTTGACCGTTAATAATTTGACGAGACCGTTATGAAAAAGTGAATAAAAACAAAGCCAATATTTTTTGGGGGCACTTAAGGTCGTTTAAATTTTTAGTTTTAATTGAATATAGTTGATAACTTTTTGAGACTTTTTTGGTAATTGATTCTAATATTTATTTATAAAATATAATAAAAATATAAATTGATCGCGCACCACGCGACTACAACCAGAGTAGCTTTACAAAAAGAAATATATTTTAATTATATTTTGAAAAAAACGGCCACATCTATAATGGCGTTTAGAAGTGTGGGGAAAAGCCATCTAATAAAACATTAAAAATTGCCTTGTTAACTAAGCACGTGATAATGCCAATATATATCTTAACACTTTGCAATGTCATGTAAGGATTATCATCTAATGTGACACCGGTATATATGGCACTCGGAAGCAATGTAATGAATGGGCAAAATACCTTAAAAACCATGCTATCAAGACAATTTTGGGTGTCAGCAAAATCTTTTTTCTTGTAGTGAAAACAATTTACGATATTTTCTGGATATATAGTAAAACAAGCGAGATGATCATCATATCTCACTTTGTAGATGGATCAAACTATAACTAAAAAAGCTCGAATGAAGATAAACGGAACATCAGTGATTCCATTGAGGGACTGATCTTCTTGTGTTAAAATATGCATATCTAACTAATGATAAATCCTCTTAAATCTAATATTTTTCTCTAAATCCATTGATGCATTCACCTAATCTCAACATTGGATTTCAAAGAAGCCAACGAAGCAGTCCACAAAGTCACCACCAAGCCTCAAAAGAACTTCCCGAATATCAGCTCCCCACATGAGGAACTGTCAACGCAACTCCAACATTCTCGGGTAGATTAAAGGTGGAGGTGAAGCAGCCTATATTCGTATCTTTGAAATCCACTCTAGCTAGGAACTCAAGGAAGCTTTTGTAATATGTAACCAATTGATTGAGAAACCATATCACATTGCTGTAGAATATGCCAACATGAATTTTGGTTCACAGGAGAATGAGAAACCAAAACCCTAATTTCATTGCAATCCATGCAGTTGGAGCCAAGAGCCAACCAAGTGAGTGGAGGGCTTTTCTGCCACTTAAGAAGCAAAACATTTCCTTCTTTCTCTCCCATATATTTCAGTGTTCCCCGTAAGTCCTTTTGGGACAACATCCAAACGGGGAAAATGTGTAGAGAGTAGCTAGGAGGACACATATATAGGGGAGGAAACTTTGGAAGTGGATATTATTTATTTAATATTAGTGGACATGTACAAGGAGCACTTACTGAAAGATGATTAAGTATTTGCAAATATTTTCCTTTTTTGTTGAATAAGCACTTTTTTTTGGGGTTAATAATTATAAGCCAAGTGCTTATTTTCACAATAACTTATCCAACTTCTACTAGCAACCAAAAATAAAATATATATTTTCATATTTTTTAATTGACAAAAAACTTGTAAGTTGATTAGGCGGGCAGTTTGTTGGGTTGGGGTGATGTTTAATATATGTTAATTAGTTTGATGATCAAATTCGATTTTATGAGAATCCTTTAACCGTAACTTACATGTTACACTTAGTTATAGGGTGCATGGTACATTATAATGAAAATACTTATTTCATGGATACGCATATTGATCCTGAAGTAATAATTATACTCTCTTTGTCTCAAAATTATTGTCCAGTTTGAGATTTCATTTTTAGTACAATTTGAACTAGAAATGAAAACCCAAACTGAACAATAATTATGGGACGGAGGGAGTACATTCTAATAATATTGATCAAAGGTAACATTGATTAAGATACTTAGACGTAAATATTAACCAAGGGGTAAGGGATCGGATTACATTATTGAATAGTTACATGAAATTATAATTAAAGAATGTAAATTATAATACATTTGGAATGAATATGTCATATTGTCATCTCAGTACAGCATAAGGCTTCGCATGACTTTGACCTAAGTGGTTAACCTAAATGTTAGGAAGAAATCAACCTAATGATTTTCACGATCTGAGAGAGTAATATTCCCTCCGTCCCAAAATTATTTTTCAATTTAGATTTTTATTTTTAGTCAAATTAAATTAAAAATAAAAATCCAAACTTGACCATAATTTTTGGACTGAGAAAATATAATTTGATCCCGCATATCTTTCTGATCTCTCGATCAAACTGAAGAAATCTACAAAAATCATCTCCGTTTTACAAAATGAAATCAATTTATAAATGCAAACATATATGCCGGGACACAAACAATCCTCCGTGGTCTCTTAAGTCCTCACACCATACAAATTTTATGAAACACAGCATTATTAGGAATATGTACCACACCATTTGTGTTTTCCTTATAGCCCTTCTCATGCCGCTTTTGTGATTTACGAAACAGCTCAAAAAAAAAAAAAAAAAGCTGGATTTTCATTTCTCTTTTTCTTTTTTCTTTTTTTCCTTTTTACCGGGTCAGTGTTCTCATTATCACCGACACTATTACAAAATCACAAAGTATCATAGTTAAAAAATTACAAAAAAAAAAAAAAAACTTGGAATGTTTACAAATTTTGTTGGACGACTACTAGCACTATCTGTGGACTATGTGGGTAAGTAGAATTTGGGCCTGAGAAAAAATCTTTGCAAACCCAGATTAGATTTCAGCCCAACTTTATAATAATATTTCTCGGGAAAAAATAAAATATTGGTCTGTCTACTCTTTCCTTCTTTCCCTCTTCCAGACAGAAGCACAGAGCTGGAAGAATCCATGATTCTGCAGGTACTATCATAACTGTTGCTCATTTGAATTACTATGATTTTATCTTCGTTTTTTTTTTTATGGGGTTTAGCTGTTTGTCCAGATTAAGTTGAAAAACTTTGTGCCCTTTTTTCTTCTTGTTCTTCCTTTCAAAGCTAGTGTTTTTCATTTTTTGGTTTCTGTTTTCATTGCCTTTTTTTGAATTATAAAAAGAAAATCTTTAATTTCTTGTATTATCATTGGTTGAAGATGGTAGGTTCTGCTTGCATCTGTTTAATTTACACGCGTTCAAGTCCAAATTCTGTTGATGTGGTAGATGTGTATGCTAAGTGTTTGATTTTTTTTTTTTTATCTATCTTGTATTGGGGTCAACCAATTTGTTGTTTTTGTTGCCTCTGTAATCAAGACCCGAAGCAGAATTTCATTTCAAAAGTACTGACAACTGCCGTTGCGAAGTTAGTGTTCATATACCTGAAGCCGTATTTAAATTACGTTTTTTGGTTGCTTGCCAGATTGCTCTTGTTTGGCTTCCATTATATTTTTCATTGTTTTCTGTCCACCTTGTGTTTGAGTCATCTCTGTATCATCTCTCATTAATGTCTTCTGGTTAATGTGTGCTTCATTTCTGTGGATTGTTGTGTGTATAAATATTCCCCGATGAAAATGCCTGAAAACAGTTTTGAAAATGCAGGCATGTAATATACCACATGTGGATGATTTTGCAATTTGGATTTGATAATGTTCGCACTGAACTTTTCGTGGTTAATCTTTTTTTCACTATGTTTCTAATTCTTATCAGGAAGTTTCTACGCCTGCCTGTTGTCAAAGGTATAGCTTTACTGGACATCACCGTATGCCTTTCTGAAGCGATATCCAAAATGAAAAGAGCAGGAAAGTGCAGTTCCGCTAACTGTGAAACTGGTGGAATGACAGTGAGGACGCATTTTTTCGGTAAATGATGTGGTGCAGTGGCAGCCCTACAGCGTTTCGATTGGAATTTAGTACCCATACCCTGTTTCTATTAATTTCTACTTGGGTACCACACAATTTGTGGTGAACCCAAAGCTAGTGTGATATAAAAGGGATTCCTACTTTTCTCCCGCTGACCACCACCACCACCACCCCAAATGCTACTCACACGATTACACTTGGTAAGCCAAAGGTATACTTGCTCTTTGATATCACCCTTTTCCAGTTCACCTCTGCTAACTTTTCTACTTCCCTTTTCAACCTATGAAACTCCCAACAATTTCAAAAACGACCCACCATTACTGAACCATTTGTGTAATCAGGACGTTCATGTGGATGAATCCCCCATTTTGAGTCAACTCTCTGATATTTTACCTATCCCCAGAAGCTCTTTGAAAATTTACGACAAACCTTTAATTACGGATTCATTTACCATCAGGACAGCTGCAGTCGATGGGTTTTTGTCCCCTGAAGAAAAATTTCGAGGAATTTTCCTGCAGAAGCTCCGTGGCAGAAGTGCTGTTGAGGAGTCTTTAACTAATGTTGGGATTGATATTACTATTGATATCCTTGAGAAAGTAGTAAGTAGAGGGAACTTAAGTGGCGATTCCATGGTTATGTTTTTCAATTGGGCGGTGCTACAATCTGGGTTTCCTAAAGATGTGTGTAGTTATAATCTGATTTTCAAAGCATTAGGGAGAAGAAAATATTTTAAACATATTATGGAAATGCTTGCTGACATGACAGACAAGGGAATATATCCTAATTGTGATACCCTTTCTGTGGTTGTGGATTGTTTTATTCGGGCTCGGCAAGTTTCTAAAGGTATCAAAATGTGGGAAGATTTCAAGGATTTTGGTTTAAAATGCAATACTGAGACATTCAATGTTCTGATGAAATGCCTGACTCGGCGATCACATGTCAGGACTGCCTGTTCGTTAATGAACAAGGTGAGAGGTAAGGTTCCGTTCGATAGAATGACTTACAATTTGGTTATTGGAGGGTGGTCAAGGCTTGGTAAAATTACTGACGTTGAGAAGAACTTGAAGGCAATGGTGGAGGACGGAATAGATGCAGACAACTCCACCTATAGCTATATTATTGAAGGATTTGGGAGAGCTGGACAAGTCGATAGTGCAGCTAAAGTTTTCAGAGAGTTGGAGGAGGAATATGTACTTGGTGTCGAGGTTTACAATGCAATGATTGCTAATTATGTACACTCCGGTGAGATGGATGAAGGGTTGAGGTACTTTGAGAAACTGTTAGATAATAACTGCGAACCTAACATGGTTACATTTGTGATATTAATATCTGGTTGTTTGAAAGCTCGGAGAGTAGCAGATGCTATTGAAATGTTTGATCAAATGTTGTATCGGGGGATTGTTCCCTCTGCAGGGACCATCACCTCCTTCATTGAGCCTTTGTGCTGCTATGGCCCTCCTCATGCTGCTTTAATGATTTACGAAAAGGCTAAAAAAGCTGGATGTAAAATGTCGCTCAACTGCTATAAGCTGTTGATTATGCAACTTTCTAAGTTTGGAAAATGTCAAACTTTGCTGAATATATGGCATGATATGCAAGAAAATGGTTATTGTTCAGATGTGCAGGTTTATGAGTATGCCATAAATGGATTTTGCAACATTGGGCAGCTTGAAAATGCCGTTTTAGCCATGGAAGAATGCTTGAGTAAAGGATTTTGCCCTAACAGGATTCTTTGCAGCAAATTGAATAACAAACTAATGAATTCAAGGAAAGTAGAAGTGGCATACCGGCTGTTTTTGAAGATTAAAGAGGCTCGTGGAAATGAAAAGGCAAAAAGATCTTGGCGAATGAAAGGATGGCACTTCTAATTCAATTATCATACAATTACTGCAGTTGCTTGGGGGGGCGGAATTTGCATTTTGCCAAATACCTAAGACGGAGGGCCTCTCCTGGTACCTTTTTACTGTCTTTTTTATTTTTAATATGTAAATGACAATGAAACTTTTAGAGTGCGAAGGTGAAAATATTTTTGTTTAATTTTAAAAATGAGATAACTTTTTGGTGCAAATTTTGTAGGAGAGCAAAAGGGTTACTAAAGGATAACAATTCCAAAAAGTTAAAAAAGAATGAAAGGGCTACCAGTTGCTTCGCTGGTAGAGGCCGACTTAGGTTAGGGGGGATCTGGAATGCTCTTTTTGCCTCAAGGTAAATTTGATCTGAAGCCTTTCTTAATGTTTTAATCTCGCGTTTCTAAATTTTAGTGTTTTAATGTTTTAACCAAGTTGGGAATATTCGAGGTATGTTGATGTTGTTGTTGTTGTTGTTGTTGTTGCTGCTGCTGTTTCTAAATTTTATCATTTTCATCTCATAATAAACCAACTCTTGTAATTTCCTTTCATTATTCTTAAGGTTGATATTAGCAATTGTTTTTCAGAATGTGTATTCACTTTCATACTTGTGATGATATGATACTACTTGTTTGCTTTTCTTTGAATTATATGTGGCCAGAAAACTTTAGAACAAACAATTTAATGTTTATTCTGTGCTTGAAGCATCTAAACTGTTTCTGTGGCTGGATTGGAGGAATTACAACAGAGGCTTGTACCATTTTTACCTGAAGCTGATGAGGACTTTCATCTGCAACACTGAACCCTTCAGTCAGATTTTTCTGCAACACTGGAGTTGACCTTTACCGTTGTGGTTTTATTTTTTTCTTTTCTGTTTTCTAGAATTGTTTGCATTGTTTTCCATGGAGCTGAACTTACATGCGATAGTGGATGTGGTGCAAGAATGAGATAGAAATCTAAGTGATCTATTCATTTGGCATTCTGCAATACCATATCTTGCAAGCATTGCTCACTAGCCAAACCGTTTTCGTTTCATCCTTTTTGTGGAAATTGTGCACTCTGTGCAAACTTTAATGGATAGTGTTCTTCTTCTTCTAGAGTCAAGCTCCTTTTACACTCTCATGTTTCAGTTGAGAAGAATATCTTGGTTTGACCATTGCCAACTCAAAGTTATCAAATACATTGGATTTCACTAGCTGGTGAACCTTTTCCTGGGAAAGCTGATACGTGGTTGGGAGAAACTGCAGCGGCATATCTCAGGCCAGGATGAACTTGCAATCAGAGTTGTTCATTTAGTTGGGAATCTGCTTTTGAATGCCTCTGGAACAATTTGTGGAAACTGAAGATTTGTTACTTTTGCCATCACTTTCTTTTCCCCCTCCCTTCCCTTTACCCTTCTTTACCCGTAACCCAGAAACACCTCTGAGGATTTTATTTCTTTTTTCTTTTTTCTTTACTTGTTCATTTTCATGGCATGTTTATAGAATTTTGAAGTGTTTCTACTTGTACAAAAAAATAAATAAATAAATTATAAAGCATTGACAAAGCTAAATGGAAAAAAATTAGAGGACCATTTTCATTTTTCAAGGCCAAAAATATATGTTTCATCATGAGGAGACAAATTACAAAGATCGTTTGAGCCAATATGAAACTTCAAAGCAAACTCAGTTGGATATTTATATATATAACATAGATACAAATAATGCTATACAACATATTTACTGCTGTTTGACCTTTTTGCAGGCATCTCCATATGCATTATGCGACGTAATCGCAATGACATGTTATTCACACCCTAATATGAAACTCTTGGGGGGTTCCACAACCCATCCCACAGTCAATATGCTCATAATATTAACCAAACTATGAAACTCCTATGTGGAAAATTTGGAGGCAACGAGTAGAATACAATACTGCATAATCACTTAGCCAATTGATTCTGTTTTGCATAGTTTTGTGCTTTGGTTGGAGCTGCGGTAGTCATCAGGCGCAACCTTCTCGCAATTTCAGTGAAGGATGGCCGTGCAGAGGGGTCTGGAGCCCAACACTGCTCCATTAATAATCCCCAATCAGAGTCGCAGTAGCTTGGTATAGGTGGTCGCAATGTATTGTTTACAATGCCTCCTGTAGAAAAAAGGAAGTGTCATGCAGCGTTCAACTAAAATCTGACTTATCTAACTGATCCAGACCAAAAATGGAAAAAATAAAAATGAATAGCAGCTGGTAAGATTTTTTGACAAAAGACTAATGCTTTGCCAGAATACATCAGACTTGAGAAATTAGGCTTGTAATATAGAACTTGGAAGTGGATCCGTCTTAGATATGCATGTGAATACAGTTAAAACCCTGCACACCTGATGGATGAACCTATCTTTTCTCCCATAATAATTTACCTTCCATCAGGCAAACATTATTTCTTAAGTCCTTGATAAGAAGACGGCATGGTACAAAAAAGGGCAATAAGCAAAATCCAAAAACTTTTGAATAATACAACCACCGTCCACATTAAGGGGGGTTACTAGACTACTAATATGGAATGATATGATGATGGAATGAAGCAGTTACAAGAAACTGAAGAACATGGAATTTCTACAGCTTTGCAGAGATTAAACTAACAATCAATTGTACTCCACCTTTGTTAAGAAGAATCTACTTTGGGATCGCATAACATGTGATGGAAGACATTAATCAAGGAACTTGGGAATAAGTAATGCAGTTTTTCAGATTTTGACGCCATACAATGCGGATTTACACTAAGGTTGAGAACTGGCTAGTAATATTAATATAATACTTTTCAGGTGTTTTATTTTTCTAACTGAAATATTCAGGAAACCAAGTCTACTTCAGTATCACATAGGTTAATCTTAGCCCAGATGTACAATCATTAGTAATTAAACAACCGTGTTATACCTACCACTATCTTAATCCTTTCACCAGGTAAAAGCCATATCTTCCTACAAATAATAATCAGAAGTCCGAACTAAGTTCTGTCAAACAATTTTGAAGCTAACTGTTTTATTATCATTACTTGATATTCTCTTCATTTTGGAAAAATCTTAGAAAAATATCCTACCTTCTCACAATCTAAACCTTTTGTTCAGAGAAACCCTAGTGTAATGTACAAAGATCAGCGGATGAAAAGCTAGAATGAAGGTGGACAAAATGTTATACATTAGTAGCTCCTTTAGATCTGAAATCGAATACAAGCATAAAGAAAACAGTGTAAACTTATCTATTTAGACTTTCTGCTTCTTTAGTCGCAGTTATCTTCTTCGGATGTTTCACTTTATCTTGGAAATGTTTGAGTAATTAATCAAAGAAACAGTTTTAATTGCATTTTTGCTGGGAAGATTATTCACTAGCATACCTGAATAGAGCAACCATGGAGTAATGTATGACTACTATAAGAATCAGATCATTTGGCAACACAATCCGAAAATCAATTGAAAGAATTTTATAAATCTCCAGTATAAATCCAAGCTTAGCGCCTCCTCTGAAACTTGAATAGAATCAGATAACTGTGGCATCAGTTTCTTTTGTTTTTCTCAACATATTTATCTTTCTTCAAAACAGTTTCCAGAAAATACCTTTTCCCGGTTAAAGCTAGGTTAATGTGCAAGGATACTCAGAAATGCAACCAGTAAGTGCTATGTTTAAATATCCTAAATGCCCAAATCATGATTACTTGATTTCTGTACTCGCACGTGCCCTTGTGGACGAGCCACATCAGAGCTCAAAAGGTGGAAGTATTTCTCACCTAAAGTCCGGTTAATTCATCACCACACTGTCGTCTATGATATTATCCAAACAAGAACAAGCTAAATGCTATTCTTCCCATTCACCAACTTAAAAAAATTACACATTTTACAAACTCTATCCTGTTAAATAACAACTAAGCCTATTACAAAATTAAGACCACACCTAAGCTAGTTGAGCTTCACAAATGCTTCCTACTTTGGAAAAATCAGAGGGAAGCGTTGCAGACCAAGTTGTAATTCTTCAACAATAATTATCCCAAATACATTAGAAAGTTTTTATCACCCAGAAAACTACTTCTGATAAGGAAAGACAATCTTCCCCACTTCCCATTGGTGTCTGGGTACTGAATTACTCTTGTGAAGGGTAAATTAAGCTTCAATTGTTTCAGATGCTTTGGGTACTTCAAGTAAAATTAAACAGTTACAGGTGCCAAAGAAAAGACTGATTCAAGAATATTTCTACTTGAAAGAGAAGAGACAAAATAGGACTGCAAGGAATCAAACAAACCTATGATGGCTCCATAATGCATATTGGCATATGGCTCCTCACCAGTAAGAATCTCCCATAATACAATCCCAAAAGAAAAAACATCAACCTGACAAGAATAACCAGAAGAAACAAATGAAGCAAATGATAAATTAAACAGCATTTAGTATTTAGCAAATTCGTTTGCAGCAATGTCTAAAAACTCTTTTCTTTTAACACAAACAAAATTCTTCGCGATTGCAACTAGTTATAAAAGGCTTAAGCAACTGATAAATGAAATTTATTCTCTAAAAAAAGTTGCCAGCTATTCAAGCGAATAGTATTGAATCATCGACGGAAAATAAGAGAGTGAAAACACAAGAGCAAGCATTGAGAATATGATTAGCAAGAATGATTAGCATATCATCTTGCCTGAATAGAAAGAGCTAGCGATTAGTTTTAATGCTGAACTATGTTGTAATTCCAATGAAACGAAGAGTACATACCTTTTCAGAAACCTTACTACTGCTACCATTTAATAGTTCAGGAGCCATCCAAGGAAGTGTTCCTCTAACACCTCCAGTAACCAAGGTATTCCTTTTGATTTTTGACAGCCCAAAATCACCCACCTGCATACACAACAGAAGAATTTAAGTTACAAGCTATCTGCCTAAAGAAGAAGCTTTCCCTTGTTTTGATTGGTGAGGAAATAACTGATTTACAGCCTAAAGAAGAAGCTTTCCCATGTTTTGATTGGTGAGAAAATAATTGATTCACGAAAGTGTAATCCCCATTCTGGAGAGTGAATTTACCCAAAAATCAGCCTAAAGAAGAAGCTTTCCCTTGTTTTGATTGGCGAGAAAATAATTGATTCACGAAAGTGTAATCCCCATTCTGGAGAGTGAATTTACAGTTTAAGTTATTAAAACTATTCTTCTCCGATTTTTTATGCAACAATCATTCTCTCATACTTTCACACTGGTAATTAGCTTTTCGAGAAAGCATTCCCAAAACTCCAGAGTAAAGTTCCACACGAAAGCAACCAAACCAAATTATATCCATCCATCACCTTGCAAATAGGTCGAGAAGGATCCTTCAGGTTGACAAGTAAGTTGTCGCATTTCAAATCAAAGTGCACAATATTCTTGGAGTGCAAGTATTCCATTCCGAAAGCAGCATCAGATGCAATTATTGCTCGTTTGCGACGATCAAGATGTCTGGATGAATACAGAAGAAAGAATCTATAAAATAAAGAATTAAACTAAGAAATATAGGATTATTATCCAGAATTGCTGATCTTAATACCTATCCTTTGAAAGCAATACATGTCTGAGGGAACCATTCACCATGAACTCTGTGACTGTGGCAAGTGTACCACCAGGTCCATCTTCCACCACACCATAAAATGCTACCACATTTGGATGATGAAGCTTTGAAAGGATTTCAGCTTCACGCCAGAACTCTACTGTCTACAAAATACAGCACAAACAAGCTTTACAGAAAAAATCATCGAAGAGAAAACTAGACTAAGTGTCTGCCATTTCTGTACGAGAACTTAAATAACATGGATATAATAGTTAAACACATTTAGTAATTAAATTTCCTTCCCAGCTGGTATAACTTCTTTGCCAGTGCGTAATCAAAGTCAATCTTCCAGGATAGATTTAAAGATGTAATGAAGAGCCATGTGACTTTAAAAAGCTCACCAATCGCTCCTGCTCAGATGATCGGCCAGTAAAACAAGTCTTTTTTATTCTCTTGATAGCGACATCAGTTCCTCTCCACTTACCATGGTAGACTGTCCCAAATGTTCCAGATCCCAGCTCTCTTAACTCTTCAAGATCTTCATTCTTGATTATCTAAGAACATAGCAGCAGAAGGTCATTGCAAATACACAGATCTGCTTCTAAATGTTCCTCCTAACTACCGTAGTCAGTTCAGAGGCGCATGGAACAGACATGACAGAATCCATTTCAACAGAATGAGTCAAGGAATTGTTAGTTAACCCCTAAGCTTTGAAAGTGCACAAAGTTTAGGGTGAAAGAAATTGCATACAAACTACATTTGGTGTGGCTTAAGGTATTTTCTTAAGATAGTTCAGGAATTATGGCGATACCAATGACAACTGACTGGAGTTCAAATTCAAACCAGATGCAAACAGAAGCAATCATAACATTGCAGAAGTCATTTTTTCATGAAGCTTCTACAAGGGACAATGCATCACCATGCAGCATGTGTATGAATCATTTATGTATTTAAGCAGTGTGTGCAACCCCGGGATTAGTATGATTTTAAAAATATGTCAGTTTAGCTTCCAATAATAATAATTTCAGCAGTGGGAACCTTTATTCAATATATGAACTTTCTTTTAGTAACTATTTTTTATAACAAGCATAATCAAAAAGTTTGTACACCAGATTGCAGATGCTCCTTGTTCCACTATTGGTGAGACTCAGGCAAAAACAAATTTAAATGGCATCCTTTTGTTTCTAGTTACAGTTACATTGACGTACCTGAAGACTACTGGGATCAAAGTCAGCCAACGAGAGATTAATGAGAGAATAACCTGTATGCTGAGCTTCCACTTTCTCATCCTTTCAAATGATAACCAGTGGTTATTTAACATGAGCCAACTGAATTAAATGGTAAACAAGTCCAACAAAATTGTTACCTGATAATCTGGCTCAACTACCCTTGAGTTTATTATACCATCATCAAACTGCATGCTTTGGATACTGGTGGTTGGAGGAGGATCATAATCTGAAGGCAAATTCATGGTATTTGGCCCAATGAAGCCACGAGAGGGCTGCTGTATGTTTGAATGGAAGTTCATGTGAGAATCAAGACCAACAGAGACAACATCTTTAGTTTGTGGATAGACATATTCCACAGGTATTCCCTCCACAACATTAGCATGTATTGGAAAACCAATATGGTCTTGATCCATCAGAGAAACATCTCTTCTCACAAAATCATCTTGGGCCAGTTTCTGGAAGAAAGACCAGTGCTTTGGTTCATGATTCTCCATATTCAAACTCAATCCATTTCGATCAGTAGGTAGAACAACCCCTGTTACAGTATCATTTCTAGCAAGTGAAAACATATCAGACAAGAAATCAGGAGGAAATCGATCATTAATGTCAATAAGTATGTCCCCTTGCTCAGGAACACCTGTTGAAGGCTTTTCTTCAGAAATAGACGCAATGGGTTGCTCTCTTTCAACAGCAGGAATTATTTGAACTTTTTTGTTACTTCCCTCCATTCTTTTGACTGGCATCTCACCAAAAGGAAGATCCTTTACCTTAGAGGTAGATTCACCCTGGACTTTGCCAGAAATTTCTTGGCTAACATTTTGATTACTCAATCCATAACTTTCTTTATCATGAATAACTGGAGCCTTCTCCTCAGAAGTTTGAAGATTTGACTCAGAAACTTCTCTTGAAATGCTGGAACTTGGAACACTGACTTTATTATATAGCTCTCCAGACTTCTCTTGTCTTTGTTGGTTATTGCCAGTAGCAGCAGAATGATGCTGTTGAGGATCACCAGAAGCTATATATTCCTTGGTCTGAGTACCCACATTTTTTTCTTGCATCTTGTCAGTAGAGTCTGCTACATCTGCATTTCTCTCAGGCACCAAATCAACCGGGTCAATGTATTGCAGTGAGACATCAGATTGTGTATGCGCTATCAGAAACTGGTTGCTGTAGGAATCGTCAGATTTGGAGAGGCGATTCAACCCTGATTGTTCTCTTGGAATCCGTTCTGAACGGAAAACCCGCTGAGGAAGCACTGATGGTTCATTTGGAGAGGCATTTAAATCACCATAACCATCAGCAGATGCATTGCCAGACAAATAAAGATGGCCATCTTCATTGAACTTATCAACTTTCTCCTCCTCAACCATAACGGGAGGTACTGACTTCTGCACAGGTTTCTGGTTAGTCTCAGAGGCTTTCGGAGTAACAACAGGTCCAGGAAAATCTGCAGGAGAAACCACCGAGGCGTCATCTTTAGCAATGGAATTTGAAGCATTCATGTCATTTGAGGTATAAATCTTAGTGTTTCCTGAAGATTGCATTTTCTCAGTTTCATTGATTTTGGGGGTTGAGTTTTCTCTTCTCATTTGTGTCCCCTCTGAAAGTGCGTTCTTTTCCACAGACTGATCAGCACTAAATTCAGCTGCTTTTTTTATAGACTTTTCCCTATTTACTGTCATCTCAGCTGCTATTTGATCCGAATAATTGACATACAAGCTGCCATGTGGCTGTTGACCTCCCTGAAGAGCGATATGCCCTTGGTTAGAATGTGGAACCAAGTTTTCCATAATCATGTGATGATTGGATCCATGAGAAGTTTCATACTTCAATGTAGAAGCAGGCTGAACAAAGGTTTTAACATCTGTTTTCGTCGAACTGTCTGTGTATTGAAAACTAGTTACAGGATGCCACTCAACATCTCCTTGGGTTTTGTTATTGTGGTAATTAAGTGGATGAGACTCAAAATGTGAAAAAACCGGCGCTATTTGTTGAGTAGATTGGTCACTGGAATATACATTTTCCCTAGGTTGAGTAGCATTGATCCCAGCTAAGCCTTCCGTAACTTGATTCATCTCCCTGCCAACACTGAAACCAAGCAGTTCATCCAAATTGTTCTGCGATGTGCTAGCGAGAGCAATAGAGTTCCTTCTAGATCCAAAATCCATGCCATTGACAGCCACAACATACTGAAACTCAGAATCAGGTTCCACATTCCCAAGAGCAAGCTGAGAATCATCCAGATCACTACTTGAAAAAAGAAACATCCTTGGTTTCTGTGATCCACTGTCTTCAAGCACATTACACTCATCGATCATATTCTGCAAATCCTCATTGCAGGAGACTGACACCAAGGCATCAAGATCCTCACCAGGAAGCTGGTACTTGATGGCTTGGGTTTGACTGTAGATAGACAAAGATTTTTGCAAAAGGTCCTCCCATGAAACATCTTTGCTTAACCGAATGATGCGGGTTTCACCACCCACATACCTTAGCTTTCCATCACTTGGACGAGGCATAATTCTACCCCCAAAGCTACAGAGAAACTTCAACTTTGGGGATGAGATTTGTGGTGCTCTAGATGAACCATGATTCATGCTATTTCTAGATGAACTTCGAGGTACTGGAGGCACTGGTTGATAGAAACCTTTTTCTTCATTTGCAAAGGAATTATTTCTTTCATGAACCTGGGCTTGAATCTTTTGTGCTGGGGGAATCATGGAGATATCTGATCCATTCTCAGATGCTGCTGAACTGGATATGCCCAGGATGCCCTTTAAATCCATATAAGATGAACCACCAGGTTCAGCACCGGACACATTTGGCATAAATTGCTGTCTTGGATTTACCCTGTCCCGCATAAACTCAAAAGAAAACTCCTCCCCAGTCTGAATAGAATAATTTAAAACAGGTCTAGCAAGGACTGGTATACCAAGCTCCGGGGGTCTAATATTGGTGTTGATAGAACTAGACGGATCATGGAAGAATCTTTGGTTTGCAAAACCAAGTCCTTCAGTTCTGGTCTCCACGGAGCTGTATCTGACTTGTTCATAGTTTTTCTGTTGCCCCAGGGAATCTTGTCCTAGGTTTCGCTCCATCAATATCTATTTTGACCTAAGTCAAATTCATGCTGAACATGAAAGAATCATGAATAAAAGCTAAGCCATATTCAGTAAAGTCTTCAACCTGTTCTCAACCGGAATATACCAGAATAGGATATGAGTTGATTTATTCCTATTTCAGTAACAAACTCTTAAAGTTCACGCCTTGCAGAAAGAATCAAGATTCTGCACTGAAGGAACCTGCAAAACATCATTTCAAGGCAAGCAAGGTGTTTAAGAACAAGGAATAAAACTGATTCAATATCTAGACAGTATCAGTACATGTTGTGGGGGGTTTGGGAGGGACCAAGCACAACTCCCAACAATCTCATTCATTTATCCATTTTCACAAGGGTCATGCATCCCCAGTTTCAAAATTAACTTAAGTTCTGGGAATAAGCACAGAGAATGGTTTAAAACACCAAAAACAACTGGATTCTCCTATTTATCAGACAAGATCATACTCATCAGCATATATATTCATTCATCAGTTCATACAAGATCATAGTCATCAGCATATAAAAAGCAAACTCAAAATGAAGTTCAATTTTTAGCGGATGAAATAAGTTTGAGAACTGTTCAAAACTTCAAAAATCCGTCAAAATGCTCGCAATCTTTCAACTGACGCCGTATTCCAGCTAACAATATATGGGATCAATCAAGCATTCATACAAACAAAAGACTAAAATCAACTTTGCACACCAATTGGAGCAGATCAATTTACAGATTTGCAGGCAAAACCAATCAACTGCTACTCAAAGTCCAAATCTTTTGACACGGGATTGCAACATCTAAGTCCAATAAGCAAAACCCATTTCAATAACCTTCTGGCATGAATCAAGTTTGCTACTTTGGCAGACAATCAGAAAGAAAATAGCAATAAATATTAAGAAAAATCTCAACCCAGAAACAAAAAATCATTGGACTGTGAAATTCAGTTTGAATTGAGTGACGAAGTACATCAAAATCAAGTACCTTGCGCCTAAATGAAAAGTTCGGAAGCTAATACTGTAAGCTCTGCCACAGTGATGATGCTTTTATGCAGAATATAGAGAAATTGTTTCCCAAATTTTCATCACCTGGAAGCTGAAAATACGAGCACTACTAGTATTTTGTTTCTTTTTGTTTCATTTTGGAAAAACAATAATTAGTAGTAGTAGATGTGTACAAAGATTATAGAAATGTTTTTTACTTCGTGGTAGATGCAAAATAACAATATTACCCTATCATTTCGTCACAATTACGTCAAGTACGTCAGACAACCAGAGGGTAGCATGTAATTTCAATTGGTAGCAAATATTTTTTAAAAAAATGAAAGATATTTTTTTAGTCTTGCTTCAAATATTCAAATTTATTATTTTATTAGTGATGGAAACTTTTAAGGGCTTTTTATTAATCCAAAACCTTTTTTTTTTCCTTTTAGGAAAATGTCATTATACTTTTTAATATAAATATTTTAAAACGCAATGTATACCCTACGTTTGAGCATCCCATAGACGACTTCCAAGATTAAGTATGGTCACATTAGTTTAGTACAGAAAAATATAAAAAAGTGCGTTTATGCTTTCCCAGTATAAGATTAACAATATGTGTGTGAAAGTAAAAATATTAATTGAAATGACCAAAAACAAAAATAACATACTTAAAAAGTACTCCCTCTGTAAAAAGGAAAAATAAAATCGTTGAAATGGAGTTTTGATTTGGTAATAATCCAAAAACTCCGTGTGCATTATTTTTCACGATATAGTAAATATTAATTTAGGTTACATGTATTTTCTTTCCCTTCTTAAATGATTGTTTAGTTTGAATTTTTATTTCTAATGCAATTGTAGAAAATCCAAACGGACATTATTTTAGGATAAAGTGAGTACACAGTAAAAAGTTTCACTTCTTATACATTAACTTTCGATAGTTTAGTATATCATAAAATATGACGACTAAATATTAATAAATGAAATTTCGCAAAAGTTATAAAAACTTTTATATTTTTTTAAAAAAAATCAAAATACAAAAAGATCTCCTCCCATGGAATTGGTTGTTTATGTCTCTAACTTTTTTTTTTTTTGGTAATGCCGTAAACCCAACAGAGATGGATAAACCTACGTCCACTGCAATAGCCAGCAAACCACAATGAAAAGTAAATTACTGCAATAACCTGCAAACCACAGTGGGAAATAAACCACCCTACAAGCTCGGGTGCGAAATCGGGGGGTTCAGTGGGAAGTAAACAACCCTAAGCAAGCTCGGGTACGAAATTGGGGGGTTCATTAGTGGGTTAGTCATAGCAAACCGTAGAGGTGTCAATAGGCAAGGTGAGAGCCAACCTCTCACTTTTTGTTAGAGTGACCTGCTCTTGGAGCAAGAGTGATTTTATTACTGAACCAACTCTTCATTGGTCTCTGTCTTTAATTATCTACTATATGCAACTTTTTCTTTCACAAGTTAATTATTTAAATACAAATAAAATTAAATACTTTGTTTTACATTTTTTATAAACAACAATAATTCAGTGTAGAAAAATAAAACAATGACAACTAAATTATTATTATTGGTAATATTACACTCCCCCAGTCTCCACGACAACTGAGTTGGGCCCATAATAATAAAACAGAGTAGATGGAATGGAAGTTTCTTCTTTCTCAAATCACCACTCCACTCGTCTCTCTAAGAAAACCCCATTGCAGCTCCCGGCGGCGGCGGCGGCGGTGGCGACGGCGACGGCGAGATAAAAATAAAACAGTTTCAAGACGGGCTAGACTTAACAAATTTCTCTGTACCTTCTAAATGGAACGATTGGACGACGATGGGTCATCCATAGCTGGAGTCGATGTTACCACAAGAACCCTTGATGATTTGCGTATTCAAGCCCCAGTCGACGGTAAAGGTGGCTATGATGCCGGTAGCGTTCAAATCACGAATTTTTCTGAATTCGTAGAAGATGTTACCCTCCATTTCCAGATCATCCGTCTTCAGAAACAGGTTTGCCTACCCTTCAATTATATGAAGGCAAACTCTTTGTGAGGAATTTTTTTTTTTTTTTTTTTGGCTAAAATTTTGCTATACTGTGATGGGAAATTCGTGCAGATGCTTTCTGTTTATTTGCCCCTTTCTTTGCGTCTGTTTATTGCCCAAAACCTGTTCCACTATTGTGCTTTTGCGGGGTTATGGATTTTCTGCATTTTGGGCCCTGCGTATGAGTTAGCTTAGTTAATTCTGTTTTTGTTATTTGTTTTCTTCTTGCATCCTTCCATGTTGTTCGTGGGCAGGAAGAAAGCTTGAATTTTGTGCTGTGTTGTATTTTGGTCTTACTTGTTTTACGGTATTTCTGTGTTTAGTTATATGCTTGGATTGGATGCAACTCTGCTAGATTTGGACATTTAGTTGCGGCTGCACCCACACGACCTGTAAGTTGCATTCCTTTGTTACTCTTAGTTGTACTGTTGCTGTATATCCTCCAATGCGTTTAAATTTTGTTTCCTGTAAACTTTTTGCTATTTTTTAGCATGAAAAGGAACAAGTGGATGAGCTAACCTGTGTTTAAGATTAAAGAACTGTGAATTGTTGAAGAAATTGGGTATATTCTTAACACCATCAAGTTGGTGCCAGTGTTATCTGATTTTTTAAGACACCAGTTTTCTTCGGATGATGTACAGAGTAATGCGGTTAGTGTTGCTCAATTGGTCGGAAGATCCACTGACAACACTGGAGCTGGTATTGCGCGGCGAGTTGGTGATGACTTCGCAACTGTAAACTGAAGTTTGATTTGATGCTTTCTTGATGCATCTAGCTGACAGTTTGGTATTGTTTTGTAGTGTTGAAAACTGGTCTTAACATAGTACTCGCCTGCAACATCCCCAAGAACAGCCCTTTGATTGAGGTTGATTACCATTCATGCACCAGTCTAATCTATTTGATAAATCACATGTTTCGTCCATATCATCTATTCAAATTTATCTTCAATGCAGATGTCTTTTATTTACCTATATTCTTTTTTCTTGCTTGGTTTTTCTGGGTGGTATTCAGGCGGCTGCTGAACTGAAGCTGGTGCAGAAGCTTTTCGACCTGGGTTATGCTACACGGAAATCTGGAGTATCATCATCGATAAGATAGATGTGAAACAATTATAACTTTATACAATGATTTGGTAAAGGGATAGGTTGACTTGAAGAGGTAACTCTGTTGGTGAAGTTGTATGAATTGTGGTTTGGTTCGTCGGGAGATCCGGAACACTCTGTAATTGATCAAAACCTCTCTCAATGTCGGATTGATGCCTTGTTTTACTTAGTGTAGAACAATAGTTAGCGAGTTTGAGGTTCTAAGCTGCATGTTAGGAAGTCATGATGATCTTCTTTGTAACAGAAGCTTCTGAAAGCAGCATTGTACAAACAAAAGGTTATCGACGGAAAAAAAAAGTTCTGCATTGTTCCCTCAGTTTATACAAAAAAATTTGCTTGCATCTTTTAGGAAGTTCTGCATTGTTCACTCAGTTTATACAAAAAATTTGCTTGTGTCTTTTAGGATTTAATCTGGGATCGCCAACGGCAGAGGTGTTAGCAGTGTTAGTACTCCTTAAAAATGAGGGGCAGCTAGGTAGTTACTAAAATCCTTCATCCTAAGTTATCTTGCAAACTTTAGAAGGTTGGTAGTTGTGCTTGTTTTGATAGGATAGAAACATGCTAGCGGTAGGAACATCCAAATGGAGAATTCCTAATCCCAGACTTGAATGTTTTATATATTTATTTTATTCTGATTAACAAGACTTGAATTGAAATTGACTCTTCCTCCATTTGGTTGAGGGGTAGGAAATTTGATATTCTTGAGATTTGAGTGAAAAAGGGTCAAGAATTCCAGTTTGCTTTCAACAAATGCATATTATTAATTTCATCAAGTAAGAATGGTTTTAACTTTAGATTTCTGCGCAAATTCGGTCGACCATCGTAATCCTGTGACGGGATATACGGGTTTTGTTCAACATAGATCAAACCTCAACCCTGATCAAATGTCTGATAATTGTAAGATGCATACAAATCAATTTTTGTGATTGTTACCTCTAGTTTCATTACGTGTTATTTTTTGGTTACCAAAATGAAGAAGTTTATTTGAAGTTTGAATCACATTAAAGTTTATTTGTCAACTTCGTATGATAATCCGGGTCTGCTCTCTAATTACCCCTAGAGAAACATTTTTTATAAAACCTTCTCTAATTACCCCTAGAGAAACACTTTTTATAAAACCTAAGGATTGACAGTTTCAGGAAGATATCTTTAGCTCAATCAGCTCTGACGGATTGCTTCCATCAACATCGTGCAAAGATGGATTTACTGTACACCTTGTGATATCAGGGAAAGAGAGATTCCCAACAACTTATCTAACTATACGTGCAAACAAAATTTAACAACAAATTTTCAAATAACCATCTTCTGTTCCAACAAGAAAGAGCCGCGAGAAAGGTAAAATACTTATACTTGACAAAGCAGACATGTTCCTCGAGTCTCTCTCTGCCGTGTAGAGGTATTGCGGCATTATCCTGCACTCCCCATCCTGCCATATTGGAACACAATTATGTTTGCCAAAGGAAAAAAAAAAAGAAGAAGAAGAAGAAGAAGAAAACTGATGCTGCAATTATGTTTGCCAAAGGAAGGAAAAAAAAAAAAAAAAAAGGAGAAGAAGAAGACAAAATGACAACTGATGCTACAATTTCAAATGTTGTTTTGCGAATTCCAAGATGGAGAACCGGTAGTTTATGTACCTCGTCTCCAAATCTCACCAGAGAAGTCAGCCCAATCCTGTTTCTAGCTATTGAAATCACATCCTGTCCCCAGATTGAGAAACCAGATACCCCATCTGTGTGACCTTTGAATATGATTGGTTCTGATATGCATTTTTTGTAGCTCCTACATTCAGAAGTCAAAACACCAGCAACATATGTAAGGCAAATGAAAGCATGCAGATTATAATCTGCAAACTACGAAAGTTTAACAGCTTGCAGAGTTCTATCAATCAGAAACAGAGATGATGATCTAAGAGACTACTGAGGCAAGGGTTTAGGCATTGAAAAATCAATTATAAGGAATCATTTAATTGCCTCCGCACACACATGAATTAGTAAAATGTGCAGGTTTTTGGCCAAGACGTAAAGCTTCCTAGTTTCTCCTAGGAAAGGTCGGATGTTCTACAAGATAAGCTGTTTGGAAACAAGAGCAGCACTTTGGCTCCAATGAGGAGACGCACAATTCGGTTTTCATTTGAGAAACTTAATAAATTATGTAGCACTGTTGTTGTATTCAACCGGATGATAAAGACACTAAACAGAGGTTACCTTCTCAAATCCCATATTCGCAGGGTTTTGTCGAGAGAACTTGAAACGAGCAAACGGTCACTTGGTGCAGCCAGCTGCAGTCAATGATTGCATATATGAGTGTTTATCCTTCAATAATGAACACAGATCATAATACTGACATACCTCTGTTACATATCCATCGTGAGCTTGCCAAGAAGCAATAATGTCTCCACTTCTAGCATCAAACAATGTACAATGACCAGAACTTAGGCCCGCTGCGATCCAGGACGGAAATTCATTGGCTCTCTCACCATGTAATTTATTAGAACCACATGAGGATATAGATGAGACCAAGGATGGAAAATTGGATTCATTGCTTCTCCATAGATGTAGTTTCCGACCATGGTTGAGATCAATAAATCTGAAATCATGATATGTAGTTAGGGACAGAAGAGATTTATATCCTCTGTGCTGTTAAAGCTAGGAAAAACTTCCATCATTAGAATATAGAAAGAGACATTACCTAAGAGAGCCATTCCCAGCACCTACAATAAGCATCTCACTAAATTGTGAGTAATGCATACAAGTGTAGAAGCTCCCATCAAATGCATTATTCAAAACGCCAACAGACGATGGATTGTAGTGTAGTGCATCGCCTTCTTCTCTGTCAACTTTTAAAGCAGCACTTAACGGGCTTACAGAATGCGTTGAATTTGAGGAGAATTCAGAAAATACGGTAATTAGTTTCCCTGTTTGAGCATTCCAGACATGCACTGTCCCATCACATGATGCTACCCGACCCAAGGACGTCAACACACAAATGTCATTTACAACCTAACACAAGGCGGCATTAAAAAAGATTAATACCTACTTCATGCGCAGAGTAATAATGAGGTACACAATATGAAACTCATTAAATTAACCTCATTCATGAAGAAAATGGCAACACAATGTTGGAAGATATAGAAAGACTTATCAGCAAAAACCTTGCTCAAAGGAGACACTTCAATAAATCATGGCAACTAAAAAAGGGATGCGAATCTATTTCACCAAACTAATAAGTTACTTAGTAATGAAGGTTCTCAAATCCTGGATTTGCATTCTTGAATTCATTCATAATTGAAACTTTAATATGTGGCTCAAATAAATTCATGTGCTTTTTATTTTAGTGAAGTTGCTGGAAATCAATAGATCAAATGCACCAATGCATCTTGGGTTGTATTTAAACAGCCTCTCTGTATTGAAATACAGGGATAAGACTGCGTACATCTTGGTCCCCCAGACCCCAACGAAGTTGGATATATCATGGGTATGTTGTTGAGTGGTTGTATTCATATCTAAACTTTTCTCTCCTGCATAAAGTAACCTAGAAATACTGAACGAGGAAGGTAATTTGAGACTCTTTTAGGTCTCCAATATCTATTTATAGATATGAAATATCAAGTTCTTTATCACTAATCCTAAATTACCACAACCTAAGATCTCAAAAAGATCTTTACTTTGAAGCAAAAAAAATTGTAATATGATATAAGCCACAAGGGCAAATTACCTCCTCATGACCATAATAGCCAGATACACAATCAACTCTTGACAATTCCCACTTCTGAACAGTTCCTTTGAAACCTGGACCAACCCCTGCAGTAAAAACTGAACACTCGTCTTCGCAAACAGCAATAGATCTCAAAGCTCCATGGTGTGCTCGAACAGAATGTAATGTGGAGGCTCTAATCTTCCATGGAAATTCATCTTTTGGACCATTTACACGGCCGGAAAAATCAAGGCCTTCCAAGATAGATGAGGAACCAGGAAACCAAAACCAAGGTTCATGCTTCCCAATATTTGAGCTGGCTTCATGTCTTGCATCCGATGTTTGGTGACGGTCAGACAAAGGTTTATTGGATGTCAAATTTCTCGCACTTTTCTTTCCTTGCTTTTGAGGGATTGACCAACCAACTCCATTCAGCAGCATTTTAGCAGGTACGTAGTCAGAGGTTGCTCTCTTACTGAAAGATAATTTCTTGGTATTTGCAGTTTCTAAACCACTTTGGTACGACTCCCCTGTATATTCCCACTGAATGAGATAGTTTAGATACTGAGGTACAAACTGTAAAGAGAATTTAATAAAAGGCATGATCGAAGATAATGAATACAAAAGCTGATATCAGAAAGTTTGACAGTTGCCAGAAATTACTTAGCCACAGTTAAAGAAGTTTTGCAATTTTGGAAACAGTTGAATTTTACCTTTGAAAGGCCACATTCCATTAACTTCTTCCAACAGGAATTTCTATATAAACTTTAAATTATATTTTGAAGTAAAACTCTATGTTAGCATCTTTTAATGACATATGTTCAGATCAGAAGATCAATTAACTGCTGCTTAAAAAACTTTTTCACTGAAGTTTTATGCATTTCAAGCTCTTGAAGTTCCTATCGACATTTAACATCTAAACCGCCCATGACTCGTACCACCAAAATGTACAGGAAAACATAATTGCTTCATGTATATTCAGAAAAACCATGTCAGGTAGCAAATAACATTATCTTTTAATAGTAACACGAAAATGTTGAATTTTAGTAACTCTAAGTCTTGTGGAACTATGCACTCTCAAAACATTGCTCTCATCAATGCAGTTAGCGCGAACTTTATCCGCCAGCATCGAGAGATACTAAATTGCGAAGCAGGAAGGACATACCTTCCAATTGTAATGGCGCAGGAGAAGCTGCTCAAGAAGCAACCATGTTGCACAACACTGGCGGAGTTTCTGTATGCCAAGAAGAGATGCAAATGATGGATAAAGAAACAACCTGCAAAACAAGGTTACAGCAAATCATTTTGAGGATAAAACCATGTTAGATGATTCAAATCACTAAGTAATATAGAACTCACACAAGGTCCAACTGATTTGCATAACAATCCTCTTCATTCATTTTTCTCGTTGATCCTATAGAAGCTCCACCCAACCTGCCTAAGACAGTGGAATTTTCCTGAGAGAAAGCCAGCTCATCAAATAACACTTTAAGTTTTGGCAGGACGTGCAGTTCTGTGAACTCTGGTCCAATCTGCTCACACGCCACAATAAGTTTGGTAGCAGCAGCCTGGACGTGTTGAAAGGGCGGTATCATAAGAACACGTACAGTCAGCAGAACATATAACATGATCAAATAATAAACAAAGTCAATGAACAGAAACCAAACTCATCTGACCAAATAGATTAAGCTTCATACCAACAGTTAATTTATTAAGACGTATTAGAGTTCAAATGTATACGAATTATAGAATACACAGAAGACATGAACCTGAGCACAAAGCAACTAACCTTATCAAAAACACAAAGAAATCTAAAACATCTCAAAATTGTAATCACCTGAAGCACGGATACACTGAACTTATAATGCATGATAACCTCCACATACAAACAACCTCCATTCTGTATAAATACAAAGGACAAAGATGAGAGGACTTCCGAAGGGTCAAAGCACGAGAAATCAAAGTCATACTGAGTCTCGTACCTCAATCAACTCCTTCACAATTGTCTCTCTTGACAATTGTGCAACAAGACCATCTAATACATTAAAAGAATTTATCAGGGAAGTGCTATAACCCTGAATGAGTTCAGGCTTATTCACTGATGACTGATTGATGCAAAAACGCATGAGATTCTTTAGCAAGGGTAGTATGTGTTTGACAATAAAATCCTCTCCCAATAGGCAACCTGAAAATTAACAAAGCACAAACTTAGTTTTGAGGGGAAACAGAATCCTGGAGAGATTAACAAACTTTTTCAAGAGGAGTTGACATTACCAATTCTAACAACAGCATCGATTCCATCGTCACACAGCCCTTTGCCCAAATAATGAATAAGAGGTAAAATTGTCTGCAAACAACATAAGAGTAAGAATGTTATGACATGAGAGTGAGCGAGAATGGGGAGCTGACTGGAAACCTAGAAGTGGTAAACCTGATATACAGTAACTGGAACGCCAAGCTCTTCACAGGAGCCAATAAGTAGAACAGAGGCGGCAGCAGCTGAACTCTTGTTCGTTGAAACAAACAGATTTGATAAAACCAATGGGTGAATTGCCTCCAGATATGCTTGTTTACCAATCCGGTTCCATAAGTCTAGCACGAATGAGCCTTGAAGAAGAGAGACCTTCAAATGGGAATATGTAGGAGCCTGGAGAGTAGGAGGACATTAGGGGCCCAAATGACTCAAGAAAAGGGGAAAAAGCAAGGCAGAGAAAGATGAAGCTGGAGTTATTCATCTACACAACCAAAACTCTATACTTAAACTTAACAACTAACCTGTAAAATCTTCTGAATAGCTGGCAAAACAAGATCCCTTATTGCTTCTGGCTTTAAGCACTTTAAGAACTCATTCAGCAGAATGTAAGCCCACTCAGCTTGAATATCTGACAAGGTAGTCTTTACAAGAGGCAAGCAGTAGGAAGCACAAATTTCAGCAGCAAAGGATCCCATTACTTTTAATGCTCCTTGTTTTGAAAAAGTTGCAGCATAACGGAGGCGTGACTCTTCCTTTGCTAGAAGTTGGAGTGGGGCAAGAAACAAGTACGCTGACCTAACTGTTCCCGGAAAGAACGGAGATTCCAAAAGGCACTTCACAGAAGGTCTCCTAAATAAATAAAATAAAATAAAAATGGAAAAGACTTGTTTGCTCATAATCTTCTTGATGAAATATGAAGTCAATGCACTAATCTCAAAAACATTTTTCTCTACAATGTCAACAGCAGCTGCAGTAATTTAAAACGTGAATGTAAAGAGTTGTTTATGGAACAGGAATCTTTACCTTTTCCATTCTTTACGAATGCAGGACCTAACTACTACTTGTACATGAAGAGGAAGGTCTTCCATAGAACTCGGTAAAATGCCACTCTCCAAGTATGTACCTATTGTGTTAGAATTAAAAAGAGGCCTGTTCAAGTAGAGTTCTGCTAAGATGCAGCCAACTGCAAAGATGTCATCAGCAACATCCACAGAATTAACATTTGAGCAAGAATTCTTTTTCCCCCAGACCAAGAGCTCTTGATAACCGACATCGTCATCATCCACCTCAATATTCTCAATAAGAAATTTCACATCAATAACTGATTTTACTCCGCCAGAAACACCATGGTTGCTCCCTCTGTTTGACGCATTATAAGTTTCAAGTTCTTTCCCATGGGAATTATCATTCAAATGATCATATACATGGAAGTCATAAACAGGACTTAAATGTTGCGCATGCTCACAAAATGATGCTGCTTCCTCCAAATGATGCAGGGAAATCACATCCATGGTTTGCCCTTCGGCAGAGTCATTCGCTTGGTAATGCTGCACGGGTGACAAATTACTACTCTTGGTAACAAACCTTCGGGCAGGGTGTGGCTTATAGAAAAGCTGACGCCGTCCTGCTGACCTTAAAACTTCCGATGCTGCTGGGGGTAACATAACATTTTTGGCATCAATAGCTGCCTGACCTGACATTTTATAACCAAAGGTAATGTCAATCCAATGATGAATTCGGGATGAAACAAGATTGCTTTCCAAAGCATTCCTATGTAATTTAATGAATTCTTCAGGAGATCTGGCCCATGGAGGCACAGACAAATCCGACATGCCAGAATGTAAAGAGAAAAATATCCGTGGATCACAATAGAATTCTGGAATACACTCATCTGGAGTCCATTGATAGAGCCTTTGCATTGTGGAGGGATATTCATTTGGTTCATAAACCGAACGAACAGCCATTTTTAAAATATTCAATGGTAGTCGTCTTGCTTTATAGCTGCAGACTGCAAGTTCAGAGAGGCATTCATCCGATATATGATGTGGGATTTCAGATGTTAAATACGTAAAGTCCAACTGCTCATCACCCTTAGCCAACCGCCACTTGCTCTTGCTTAAGTCTCTCCATCCAACTTCATTACTTTCATCAGGTTTGACACTAAAATCCACGACCCATGGCATGACTGTGTGGAAAGTGTGATCACCCCACCTTCTTCCAGCTAATTTATTTAAGATCAAAAGATACTCAAAATTACTCAACTCTCCGTTATACCAAGAATAGAAACTAGACTGCCAATCCATGGACTGGGAAAGCTTTAAATCTGCAAATAGCCCCTGGGAGGTGCAATTCTTCGAGGAGCAAACTGTACTAGTGGAAGAATTTGAGTTTACAACTTTTGAGTTTAGCTTGGGGCTGTCATCAATACGCAGCCAGCACCAGGACGAGTCAGTCAACATCATACTTGAAGGCCGCACATTACCATGTGCAATTCCTAGACCATGCATATAAGACAATGCGGAGAGTAACTGGTAAATCATAAACCTATTGTGCCAATCATATTTCAAAGCACCTGGGCTGTAATGAAGAATGTTTTCCAAGGTATATGGTGTTTTAGGAACAACTAAGTTGACTTCACTAATTGCCTTAAACATTCCCAAAATAGGAGCTATATTTGGATGCCTTACGCAGCCAGGAAAGCTAACGTCACTGAACGACGATACACCAAGTAAGTTAAGGAAATTTATGGCTTCTCTCCCAGCAGCTTTCCCCTCTATTAAGAGAGAAAGCGAGCCGAGGCTGTGATCTTCCAGAACTCCAGACCAGAAGTCTGAAGCAATTTCTTCAAACAAATCATAGGAAGAAATGCCAATGCGAGCATTTGGAGCCAAGGCAGTGATTGTCCTAAAGCAAGAATACCAACCAGAAAATTCACAAGTCAAACTTTCAGACCCTAATCCATGTGGGAGGTGCGGACTCGTTCCACCATTTGATACATACTGACATTGGGTTGATTTACTAAAACAGGTAGTATTTTTATCACTGGGTATTCCAGCACTGACCTCTGCTTGATCTTTGCCGATTACAGCCACAGAAACTGCATCTTCGCTTCTGCTACCTTCAAGTCCATTTACGCAACACTCATCTCTGTAGAGGAAAAAAGACTTACATTATCATCAAATAGCACAACAACACAAGCACTGGTCAGAAACAGTAAAGAAAAAATACATTAATAATTTGCGGGAATACTCACTGTAAAAAACCAGTACATGGAAAAGGAAAATTAAAAATACTCATTTGCAGCAACCAAGTTTGCATTAAGGTACTTATGAAAAATTTAACTGAGCTCACAAGTCACAAAGAGTAGGACAAGACTCAGGAATTTAACGAACTGAAATGGAGTGTTAGAGAAAGAAGGGCAGCAATACTATAAGCATACATGTAACTGGAAATGCAACGATCTTGGGCCCTCGGAATATATGTCAATATGAATTGCGGAGCTGAGGCCTCTCCAGCGCCACACCTAGGAAGCTGCATTAAAACCGGAATGTGTCCAAGAAAAAAAAAAATCAAATTTCCGCAATTAAATAAAAAAAAAAATTGATTTCAGATACACTTGTGGGCTAAGGGAATTCTGGGTTTTTTTTCTGAACAATTTTACTGACAAGAAAGTGTTTCGGGAGCAATGGTAGGAGAAGGGGTACCTGAACCACGGCAGAAGAAGCAAAAGGGAGCGGAGATTCGCCGGAGATTCCATAAACAAAGGTGAGTTGCCGCCGCTTGTCGTCATCTTCTTCCTCCTCCGGCAACGAAGATGATGATGGTGATGAGAAATCAGCTTTGATTCGTTTCTCAAGGCACTCCATCAAACAAAATTGATGACTACCCTCCATTTCCATTGCCTGAGTCGACGAGAATCCGATCAATTCATGGAAAGGAATGACAGTTTAACTGATTTTTATGGGTTTTTTTTTTTTTTTTAACAAACACAGTTTAACTAATTATACATTACGCCTGTACAGACCAGAGACTACAGAGGAACTTTCTTTGGAAAATACTACTATTACAGGAGAATCTTGAAGAAGGAAGTTCATGGAAAATAAGGAAATCGCACTGTTGATCCTTGAACTTTGATTATGTGATGTTTTCTGTCCTTTTTGTTATTTGACAGTGAAAAAGGAAAACTAATTTGTAAATTATTCCTAGGTTTGGAAAAATACTAATCGCCCGCTCTCGTTACTAATTAGTGAAACTCAGTCCCTTGGCCGGCGGCAGGTCAATGTACAAGTGTAAGTGATTAAAATAATTATTGAGTTTAAACTTTAAACGCGTATATTTTAGAGTTATTAAAAATATTTTTAATCCTTTTATAAAACGGAACCACCAATAGAGATAGATAAATATGTTTTCACTATAATAGCCTGCAAACAATGATGAGATGCAAACTAACATAGAGGGTGACTGATTCGAGCGCAAAATCGAGGTTTATCCATTGGTTTGTATTAACAAGATCCTCAAAGATAAATATATTCATATTTTTAGTGCATGTTATTGGTCTTTAGAGACCATTCCATTTCTCATGGTAGACTATAATTGTTGATGAATGTATTAAAAAAATATATATTTTGAACTTTTCAAGCATATATTAGAAGAGGTCGAGTAAGAGCATTGGACAAGAAACTAAAATATAATCTCTCTAATCTTACTTATAAGGCATATTAACGATAGACAAATCCAGTTAATTAAATTAGTTTTTTCATTTGTCTAAAAAATAGACTAACTTATCTATATTACCAATCTATCTATCTATACAACATATTATAGGAAAAACCAGTAAAATCCTGAAAGTTGACATGTCGCACCATCCTACACTTAAATGCCGCTTCTTTTTGAGAAAAAGAAAAAACGTTGTAATTCTATTTGTAATTTATGCCTTTAACCCTTTTTGTAATTCTATTTTTTTGGCAAACGGTGAAATAAAGAAACCGTCGTCCACCACCATCCTAAATCAATTCCATGTTTCTTCTCTGAAACCCTCAATTACTGGTCACACGGTGAATATAATTCATCTATCTTCCCTCATGGCTAGCAAATTCAAACAATCTTTTCAGATGCTGGAAAAGAGTTCTTAGTGGACTCGACGAGAAAGCAATTGTAGTGGCGCCGGCCGCTGTTGAGTTGTTTCGGCGACGTACAGATGATTCTCGGAGAAGGAAGGAAACTGGGAACCGAAATTTGTATCTAGGCAATATATTGACTAAATTAGAGGAAAGAAGCACTGCTGATGCCAAAGAGGTTCGCCGTCTACTGGCCAAAATTGCTGGTGCAGTACAAAACAAAAAACAACGGTCAACATGAACCCAGATGAATCTAGCTCAATTCCTGAAGCGCCGGGCTGAGGTTAGTATCGTATAAAATCAAGAATTATTTTTCAATCATCAATCCGTCCGTCCAATTAATTAATTATTATATCTAGCAACTCTATTTAGTCTTCATAACCAAGTTGTGCTCTTTTTGTCATAGATTCAAAGAAGAATGTAATTATTTGGTATCCTCCCGGCGGCATAACTAATGGTGATGGTGTGGTACGCATAATTTCTGCCCCATATTTGATCAATAAAGAAAAACCCTTTCTCTGTTTCTATTAAGTTTCTCATTATTATTTTTTTTTGTTTTGTTTTGTCTTTTCTATTTCTTAATTAATCCCACAGATTGTGACTCAGGATCTTATTCTCCCAAGTTGCAAACTATGATACCATAGCAGCTGTTTCAATCAAACAGTCGCAAGGAGTGATATCGTAGGTTACAGGTAAATTCTTTTCTTTTTTTTTCTTTTATATTTTTTATTATTTTTTTTATTTTTGTAAATCTTTTGCGTGAAAAATCTGCCTTTGTTGTTCAACTTACATGTGTTTGGTGGTTAACCAGTAAAAAGTGATTGTCTTTTTCTTCCAGTGGTTGAAAAATTTGATTCTAAAAATTAATTCTGTTAGTTCGTGGCAAAGTCGAAAGAAGACCGAACACAAATGACTTTGAGACCGATGAAGACAATTTTGGAGAGGCTTACGCTTTGGGTTTTTCAGATGGTCAGGGGAGGGTAATGGTAATGAGAATTAGAAAATGCAACCACTAGCATTCGGAAGTAGTAACTGGAGTTGAACCTCGCAGGATCAAAGATTTACTGAGTGTCACACTTTGGAAGGCTTCATGTTTATCCTCCAGAAATTATTGAGCAGGTTAGTTTGTGGTAATTTTCAAAGATTTACTCTTCTCATCTATTATGTGTATTGTTGCATGACCTTTTCCATTTCTAGCTTTAGGAAAAGATTACTATGTAGTTATTCTTAAACAATTGATGCAAGAGGTATTCTGATTAATAAATTCAGGCTTAGGTGTTTCGTTACTTGATGATAGTGTATAAACAAGTAATGATCATCTGGCGAAATAAAGGAAGAGCCATACTACCGGTGAAGTAGCTCCTTCAAGCAACGCTACCAAACCATAGCAACAAGAATTGGAAAACTATGAGGAAATAGCAACTGCTTTTTTCAAAACGATCAGTTATAACTTAATCGATGTCACTTTTGCTATTCTTCATTCGAATTCTATGATTTTCGTTTTAGAGTGGTCTTTTGAATGTTGTATATACATTATTTAGTTAAATGTATTTATTACTCATGTAAATGTGTTATGTGAATTTTCAGTTTTTGGAGTGAAAAGTTTTGAAATTTTAAGCAAAGTTTCAATCATGTATTATGTTACTAATGTAAATAGCTTGAGAATACCAGTTGCTTTTTGGATCTATAGTTTTATGGAGTTTATCTGGTGCTGCTACACTTTTTTATTGTATAACTTTGTTGAATAAAGATTGAATCTTTGCCTCAACAGATTTCTTCTTCTCCAATGATGAACTTCTACTCAGATTCATGAGTTAGGAACTACAAATTTCTCTTTTAAATTTTCATGTACACGCGGTGTTTTGTAGTGATTGCACAAGAATCCATGCATGTCTATAAAGTATGAACCAATGAATTAGCTTTCTCTGAGTAGTCAGTGGAATTAAAGGCAAGGTGAAAACTTTGTCATAGATGAGATGATTCTTCTAACCTTTTACAAAGAAAGATTCAGGAACATGAAGGTCTCATGATAGTTGCGAAGTAAAGTGGTTAAAAATTAGTGTTCTCTCTTACAAGTGGAAGTATTGACATGTTGAATTCGTACGGTTTTTAAATATGCAAGGATCGTAAATTTCTTATATTAGATTCAGTTGAATACTTATTGACACTAGAAGCGCTTAGATTTTTTACTTCTTCATTATGTTAAAGGTTTTTTTATGTAGTTATCATTGGAAATTTGTATTTGACTACCATAGTTAGTATATATGTAAAGTAATTTTATGATGTATTCGTTTTCATTAAATGATAATTCTATTTATTTTTTATGTGAAAATAACAAAACACTTGTCAAATTTCATTTCCTCTGCGTATTTTTGTCTGAACGGAAACAGTAGAGATTAGTCCATTTCGTACCAGTGCGAACGCACGGGTCAAAAACCTAGTTGTTATATAGTGGACCATGGTTTTTATTGCAATGTAAATCAAAGTGTGTAAGTACGCGCTTGTTGTTCCTATCTTTTATGAAATAAAATTTAAAATTAATATTGTTGTCATGCGATAAAATTTTAAGAAGAGTCTTTTATTTCTAATTCAAACTCTCTTTTTTTTGTGATTACTATATATATCCATCAAACAGTCCAAGTTTAAATCTTTCTCTTCTTTCACTCTACTCTCTCTTGTCTAAGTAAGACTTCTTTGCCGTCAAGAATCACCGGACTTCATCGCCATAAAAAATCACCACTGCTGCCATCACTTGTTGTTGAAATCAATTGAGAATAGAAGGAAAAAAATTTTGATTTATAACTATAAGTTTATGAAGTAACAATGATTTCTTGAATATGTCTTTAGTTGGTAATGAATCATTTTTCCAGATGATTTGACTTATTATTGATACAATATTTCAATTAATAATATATTGAAGTTCATACACTAATGATAATTTATTCATAAAGGATACTGCTACTCATTTGATATATTGAAGTTCACACATCTTGTTGTTGTCAAAATCATTTTAGAAACCAAGAAAATGAAGGTATTTTTCTATTTTTATTTGAATCAAGTATAATCTATTTGTAATTGTGGTATCTTTTGGAGCATAGTATCTTTGTTTAGTTATCCATTCACTAGTATATACATATATTTTGTTTTCCTTTTTTCTGCTTTAATTTTAATTGTATGATCAATCTCGATACCCGATTTTAATTGATAATTTGAAGTTCATACATGCAGGTGAAAATGTTCATACATCGATTACTTTTTGTTTATAATTTTTTGAATTAATTGTGAAAATCTTCATACATGCAGGTAAAAATTTCATGTTTTGATTACTTCTTAGTCATATATATATATATATATATTTGTAATAGATTCCTTTCTTGATACCAAACTTCAAATTCATTTCTTAATCTTCACAAATTTAGGCAAAACTTGTTCATACTTTTCTTTTAATGATTTGCTCCAACTTGATATTTAACTTCAAATTGATATCTTCAAGTTCAAATATTTGGGTAAAAATGTTCATACAATTATTACTCTTTGTTCATGATTTTTCTCATGATCACAACACATATTCATGTTTATATAAGTTTAAGTTCATACTGTCTTTACTGTTTGTTCCTGATATTTCCCATGCTGATAACACAAATTCATCCTATATAAGTTTAAGTTCATATAAAGACAATTTTATTTTCACGAGTTCTCGATTATTGTATAATTTTGAGTTTAAGTTTGTTAACGAAAATTTTATTTTTAGGAGTTCTCGATGATTGCATAATTTTGCTTCA